TCGGAGGGGGAAAATGAGGAGCTGATATTAAGGGCTCAAGTAGAAAGCAAATGTTTTGAGAATGATTAGGGCAACCAATGTACAAATGTGCTTGACACAATGGATGTATGTATGGATTGTGATAAGAGTTGTACGAGCCCCCAATAAAATGATTTCCTCATCTATTAACATATACTCACTGCCCCCAGTAAGACCCCTATTTGTTCCTATCTAATCTTTCCAGTTGTCTGTTTGATCCCACTTACCAACCAGACTTACTGCCAGCAACCCTATAGGACAGGGTATAACTGCCTCTGAGTTTCTGAGACTGTAACTCTCTTCTTTCTCCCTAAGAGCTGTTGGTGGTTTTAAACTGCTGACCTTGCACTTAGCAGCCCGACCCATAACCATTATGCCACCAGAGTTCTATTTGATCCTACATAGATAGATCATGAAAGAACACCATGCTCAAGGCAAATGTTCTTTACTAGTTAAGCTAAACTATAGTCTGGTTTTAAGAATTGAGGGGATATTTTTAGTTTAAATCTTAAATATGATCTCAGGGTAATAGTTATGGAGCCAAGTGGACATTTTGAACACTTATAGGATATCTTTTTTTTTAGCCAGCCCCTGCCTTATTCCCAAAGCAGCACTGCTGGTGCTGTGGGCAAAGCATCAGACTGCCACCCTTAAGGCTGACATTTCAAACCCAGCAACCACTTTGTGGTAGAAAGATGAGGCTGTCTGCTCTTCAGAAGATTTAGTCTCAGAAGCACTATATAGGGTCACTAGTAGTTGAAATTGATTTGATGACAGTGGGCTTGGAAGGTTGGTCCTGTTCCTAAGGAGCCCTGATTGTATAATGGTTAAAGTACTCAACTATGGTTTGAAACCACAACCACTCTATGGGAGAAACATGTGGCAATTTGCTTCCATAAAGATTAATAGGAATGGAAACCCTGTTGGACAGTTCTACTCCACCTTATGGATCACTATAAATCAGTTTTGACTTGATGGCAATGAGTTTGGGTTGATTTAGTTTGGTCCTATTTCTTCTGGGTCTGTTCCCACTTACGCTGTATCATTTCTCTCTTCAACTAATGTACCAGCTTTGCTTCCTTGCTGTGTTCCTGACTCCTCTCTACCCTTTTCAAATTTAGTCTGTAGGCCAGATTCATATTATGAAGACCAAATTTGTCTTCTCTCAATTCTCTTTAAAGGCATTTTGATGATTCTTTGTTACTTTATTTAAAAAAAATCATTTTATTAGGGGCTCATACAATTCTTATCACAATCAATACATACATCAATTGTGTAAAGCATATTTGTACATTCATTGCCCTCATCATTCTCAAAACATTTGCTCTCCACTTAAGCCCCTGGCATCAGCTCATCATTTTTCCCCCTTCCCCCATAACTTATAAATTATCAAGGGTTCATGAGGGGGATAGTTCTACTCTCACTTGGGGTCACTATGAGGCAGAATCGGCTTGATCGCACCCAGCAACAACAATCTTTATAGAAGCAGATTGTCAGGCCTTTCTTTGGTCAAGAACATTGAGTGAATTTGAATTGATAGCCAGTCTTTTTTGTTTCTTTGTTTCACCAGTTTTATGGGCATATAATTCACATATCCTACAATTCAGCAGTCCAGTCACATCAAGACGAGTTGTACAATCATTACCATACTTTTAGAGTATTTTATTCATTCTTTAAAAAAAAATCATTTTATTGGGGGCTCATACAACTCTTAATCACAATCCATACATACATCAATTGTATAAAGCACATGTGTACATTGGTTACCCCTCATCAATTTTATTCATTCTTGAACGTGACTTTTATTAGCCCTGGCATATCCCCAAGGAACCATTAATTCAGTTGCTATCTCCATATAGATTTACCTATCCTGGATTTCTAATACAGAAAAACATTAAAAAACAAACAAAACTAACAAGAATAACAAAATAAAACAAAGCCTGAATTGAAAAGAAAGCAGAAAATATTAAAAGTAGAACAAATTTAAATGGATCATAAGGGAAATCGAATAATAGAGTGGTAAATTTTAACCTAATTGCGTTTGCAACAATCTACATTCCAGTACATTTTGCATGTTAGCAAGGCCATTCACATCCCTGGTCAATGGTCAGAGGGATTCACCAGGGGCTAAATGCACATGCATGTGCCCATCACCTTTAAAAAAAACAACTGAGACCGCTTTAAAAATGGGTCAAAAGGGAGATCAGACTATAAGATAGTGTATTAGCGTCTCCTAAGCATTGATTTATTCTCCCTCTTTTACCCACCAAAGAGGGTTTTTTCGAATTCTTTGACCCAGAGCTTTGTTTGGGCCACGACTTCGTGGGGAGAAAAGGGATATTCTAGCCTCCCATTAGTCTGAATGCTTAAGAGACATTCCTATTACTCTTGCCTTCTGCTTTTCTTCTTATGTTCCATTCTCCCTGACTTGCCTTTTTCTGCTTTGTCTCCTCTTCCCTTAGGTAAGTCAAATCTCATGGATGCCATCAGCTTTGTGCTGGGTGAAAAGACCAGCAATCTGCGAGTAAAGACTCTGCGAGATCTGATCCATGGAGCTCCTGTAGGCAAGCCAGCTGCTAACCGGGCTTTTGTCAGCATGGTCTATTCTGAGGAAGGTGCTGAGGACCGCACCTTTGCCCGCGTCATTGTTGGTGAGTGAGGCTAGTGGGAAGGCTCTCCTTGGGCCCTGGAATGAGGCCTGACCCTCAGTTGGTTTATGTATTGTTTTGCAGGGGGTTCTTCTGAATACAAAATCAACAACAAAGTGGTCCAGCTACATGAGTACAGTGAGGAATTGGAGAAGTTGGGCATTCTCATCAAGGCTCGTAACTTCCTCGTCTTTCAGGTAGGCACTTTGTTGTTGAGAATGAATATACATAACAAAACATAACACCTGAATCCAGGACAGATGATCCCTTCAGGACCAGTGCTGAGAGTGGCGATTTCCAGAAGGTGGAGGGAAGGTGGGTTAGAAAGGGGGAACCAGTTACAAGGATCTACCTATAACCCCTTCCCTGGGGGATGGACAACAGAAAAGTGGGTGAA